ATGACCAAACCAGATCATATTTGTGCATGGAAATAATTGTCTGAACTGTCATCCAGAGGCTGCACCAACTAAGATGGCTTTGTGTCACCTTAATAGGAAGTAAACTAGCATGGTTGTAAATGTTCAGGTCAGAGTACTGAATTTTCCAAGGAAGTAAATGTAATCCTTCACTCTCTCCATTCTTTACTGAGAAAGTAGACACGGAGGGATGGCCCCTTCATGGGGACACCTGCATTAAGTTACAAACTACTTTTGAAGGTGTAAAAACAGATGTTTACTTCTTCCAATTAGAAATATCAGACACTGGTGGATAGTAAGAAGGCAACATGAATCCAGCACTGGACTGCCCAGCCACTGTTAATCTGCCTTTGCAAAAACAAACAAACAAACAAACAAACACACTTTTCTTTCTTCCTTTCTTTCTTTCTTTTTTTCTTTCTTTCTTTCTTTCTTTTTGCTAGACAATTAAGCAAACTTTTATTGAAGCTTACATTGTGGTACAGAAATACATTTCAGCTGATTAAAAGTCCAATACCAACAAAGAGAAATTATGGCACCAAAACTTCCCCGCCTGTAATTACACTAGACCACTAGTCCACCTACAGTCTCTTCTCTAGGCTTCATTCCACACAAACCTATGCAATTTTCAACATTAGAATTCTTAATTTTATAAGATGCGGGAAACAGACCTCAAGCCAAAATCTGATGGGTTACAAAATCCAGCTTAAATAAGCACTGGTCCTCCAAATAGCAATTCAAAATAGGTGCTGTGCTCATTACAGAATCAAGACTGATAAAGCTGACCAAAAGCTTCCCCAATGAAGCATTTAATCAATACCGTGTATAAAGTAAAAATCAGACAGTGTTCCAACCACTTGATTTCAAACCAAGTAGATTCTACTTTTAGAAACACTAAAAAAAAAAAAAAAGTTTCATTATAAATACAGAAGGAACAAAACATCACTGTGTCAGTCCAGAAACTACTAACAAAACAGTAGGAGGGCAATAAATAGAGAGCGTAGTCCAGTTTGCTCTTTTCTGTTTAAATTCCACACCATTTGCAAATGCCCACATTTCTAGTGGCATTAAATAGATTCAGAATATTTTTCATCCATTCATACATTCACTATCTGGCCAAGTAGCCTGGAGAGCCCTCCCTCTGGTCAGCCATTCATTTGATCTTAACACCATGGTGAAAGAAAGACCAGAGAACAGCCGATATCAGAAATCAACAGAAATCACGGACTCTCCTTTGAATCAAGATCTCCTTTAGATTGGCGGCAATGGTGGCACTTACTGAGGTCAGAATGTTTAGGATTAACTTTCTGCTTTGATTTAGTGGACATTCCCATCACTACTTAGTAAGTTAGTGAAGGCATGGTAGGCACTTCATTAAAGCTAATTAAAGTGCACTACACGGCCTATCATTTCCATGGAGTTTTCTTTTTTAATGGGTTCTCCTTGCTCATCACCCCAGAGACTGAATTCTTTTCACTTGATACATTCAGTTTTGTCATTTATCTTCCACAAAAGTTCATGCCAATAAGAAGGCCACATTCTTATTATGTCTTAGGAAAAAAATTAAGCAAGGGACCATTTTCCAAACTCATCTGGGGTGTAAAATTATAATAAGCCCACAGTGTAACAGTGTATTGCTTCATCAGGGGTGGTAAAAAAAAAACATAGGACTGTAAATTCAGGAGCAACTATTAAAACAGTAGAACACAAAACAAGCAACTGGAATCATTTTTCTTACAAAGAATCAACGTGTGGAAGAAAAACTTTAATTGCCATTGCATAAAACTCCTGTATGAAGTAAAAATTGGTTCTGAATCACATTAGCAGAGAATATGTTCTAGAAAGTGGAGGTAACTGGATGTAATAACTCTGGCAGCAATTTAATAGAACAGTCGCAGACAGTCAGCTGAGGCCGCATCTAATGGGGACGAAAGCCTTGTCTGTGGGGGATTTTGGATGATGCCTGCAGAAATATTATGCTGTGCATAAACCAAATCGAATTGTTTTCACAAGTGTCGTAAAGATTCATACAGTCAAAGTTCTTTTCTACATGCACTTCAGTTCCACAGCAAGAGTGGCATAGAACACCTAAACACAGAAGAGAGCGTTCATCTAAGATATCTAACTCCTTGATATAATAATGCATACACTTCAAAATGATTACACTATCATTACACCTAGGGCTTTCTGCAACTACAAGGTGGTGGTCATGGTCAGCATGGCCCCCAGGATCAACATCTAGAAAGCAGCCACCACCTCCTGTGTGTCTTCTCTTTTTGCGTTTTTTCTTCTTCATTTTTCCTAATCAACTCTGCTGTTGTTGTTTCTTAGCAAAACTGGTAAAAACAAAATTGTGATCGTTGAACATAGCCCTCTGGCAATCAAGACATTTAAAGCCGTCAATTTTCTGGGGTGAAGAAAGCACTGTGCGACATTTAGAACTCTGATTAACAAACAAGGTGGTCACAAATTTTCCTGGCTTGAAGACTTCCACAACTTTCCTGATCAGGTCGTCATAGGAGGTCTGACTTAGGTTTGTTTCAAAGCTAACATAAGGAAATTCTGGTTCTGGAGTGATGTGAATAGTCCAATATGTTTCCTCTAATTTCATTCCGTTCATTGAGTAGCCACAAGGATTGAACAGTGTGGCATCAATGACAGAACCTGGTATCAGGTCACGAATTCCACTCTCACGAGTGACATCCTTTGCAGTATTTCATGTAGAACTGGTCCATAACTGGTGAGTCAAGCTCACTCATCAGAATTTCCAGGGTTTGGTCTGGCTGATTGATTACTCGGCTCTCTGGGAAATCCAAAGTATACAAGTACCAACAGTCAGAATTCATCCGTCCCATACAGTATGCTGCTCCATTTGGGAAAATTTCATTAAGAAACTCGATTTCTTCCTGGAAATTCCGGTGTGGGTACCCTTGGTGAGAAGGCTTCATGAAATTCTTACGAGATAAAAGAAGTTTTGGATTGAGTCAAACCCACTGTAATCCCGAGCAAGCTTCAACAGGGGGACCAGTGCTTTCAGTAAGAGGGTGGTACCACATGTCTTCAAAATGAAACGTCTCTTGGAGACAAGCATGCTACTCTCACTGAGTACATAAGCTTCCTGCTTGTCAGTCTTTGTCACACTTATGATTGAGCACTGCACATCCTTCAAAAGGACATCCCACTCAGATCTTGGGATGGTACGAAGATCCCCAGATCCCTGGCTTGCGTCGGACTGCTGTCTGGAAAACCAGACCTCTAGCAGTTTCTCGGTCCCTTCGAAAAAATGTGCAGCTTCCAACACCGTGAGACTAGCAAACAACCAACAACCACAGAAAATCAACTAAATTAAATCTCTTCTCCCGCCGCTCCTGCTGCCGCTGCGGATTGTTCCAGCTGTGTTACTAAAGTTCAGGTTCCTTTTTTTTTTTTTTTTTTTTTGCTATAATTTTATATTAACTTTAAAAAAAAAAAGGACTAATAAAATTTTCCCGACTATTTTCGTGAGCGAAAGTTGAACGCGAGTCTGTTGGAAATAGAGGCAGATACAGTTCAGTCTCTTGTAGTCCGCTGCTTTCCCGTTAGAGAGAGTTGAGCCAGCGCTAGCTAATGTCGCCGGCCACACTGTGTAAGCGAGAGCCACACTGTTCTTTCATCATTATTATTTTTAAACTTCTTATTGATTCTTTGTGAGTCTCTAGTCCTGCTCATCTCCCTGTGGCCTCGTATCTGCCCTTTGCCCTTGCAACCTCTACCCCACAAAATAAAACACAACAACAACAACAACAACAACAAAGCATAAAACCATCTCATCATGGAAGCTGTAGTATGTCACAGTGTGTCCCACAGTATGTACCACTGTCTACACATCACTTGCGAATGTCCATTGCAACAAGTCATTGGTCTGGTTCCAGGTCTCTGGCTTCTGTGACACTATCGATATTAGATCCTTACCATGACTCCCGTCAATTATCCTGTTGTCCTTTGTCATGGAGATCCTACAGCTTTGGAACAACACGACTGGTCCTTTTACAGTCTCAACCATTCTTAGTTGATATAGATTTTTGGGTGAGCTATCTCAGAGCCTTGTAGATGTATCTTGGTGGTAGCAGAGCTGGTCAGCCCATGGGCTTTCCCTTATTCCACCAGGGCAAGCTCTGGCTAAGCCACCCATTGCCACCATTGGCAGGAGGCACAGTCAGGTCTCCTGCTCTCATTGCTGGTTCACCCATACCTATGCCTCCAGAGCCATCTCTACTGTGCTGCCCCTGGAGCCCACTCTCCCAAATACTGCAGCATGTGAGGGGCTGGGCCAGCTCTCCTGCTCTCACACCCTTGGTGGCAGCTTACCAGTCAATTCCTTTGCCATCATAGCCAGCTCTACTGTGTTGCCTGGGTGAGGCACAGGGCCTTCTCTCCTCACTGTTGGCAGGGCTAAGAAATGGGGGCTAGCTCTCCAGAGTAACACATCCAGTGAGGGGCAGGGACAGTTCTACATAGCCCCTGGACATCCATGTGGTTCCTGGTGACTATCCCCTACCAGGAACATCCCCATATTCTTTAGTGGCAATATGAGCCACTGTCATCGACACCAACCCCTACCACTGAGTAGTCAGACTCAGACATGGCCCTCAGTGGCAGCTTGGGCTGGAACCTCACCACTGCTCCAGGTAGCAGGGCTGGCGGCTCACAACAGGCTATTCCTCCCCACTCAAGTCTCTAGTTCTTCATAATGCTCTAGCTGCTCCACTTCTCTTTTTCTCCTATCTGATCACCATATACTTGTACACAGTGGTAGCTTCAGCTGCAGGCCATGTGGCTGACAGGTTCCTGGGTTACATTCTCCGTCTGTGCTGTGTGGCATGTCAGCATGCAGATGTCTATAGTCTGCTTGTACAGTCCACTGGAGGGCAAGCCTGTAGGGGTCATAGTCGTCTACAGATCTCTTTCTGTCTTCCTACTTCTGTGCTCCCTGGATTTGATTTTTATGTGTCCTAGGCATAAGATAGCTTTGTCCACCAAGCCAGGAATCAAGCTAGGATGAACAAAGGACTGCCATCTGCTCTGTCCCTGACTGATACAAGAATACCACCACCACCAACAAGGTGTCTCTACCCATTGCCGGGGTTGGAGTACCACTCTTTGTACATTGAGAGTGGCCAAGAAAGCCAAAGCATGAGGAGAGATTAAAGGACCTCAGTAGTGTGTCTGGATTTGATTGATTGTTAGTAATAGCCATATCATCACTGGTAACAACAGTAGTAAGGCATCATGGGTAAACTCATCCAGTGAGAGTCTGAAGATCTCCCTGCTCTGACCACAGGGACTCTGACCTTTCCTTCCTAGCAGATCTTTGTAATGGCACCTGCTGGCATTTACTATGGTCAATTATCATGTTAGGGCCACATATTCACCTATTATACCACTGGAGTCCCCACCAGGGCCAACTGGAAAGGCAGATGAGTTTTATTTATTCATCTTTTCTTCATGTGTCATGATAGCTTTGCCATAATTTGACTAGAACCAAAATATACTTCCAGTGTTGGGATTGTAAAGATCGTAGAGGAAACTGCATATTCAGACAACTGTGTTTTTTTTCCACCTCATTACAAGTCTGTAACTAGGTTTACAGGACACCAGATGTCATGGAGGACATTGCCATTCCGTTTCCTGTCTGCTGAGTGCAAATGCATTATTGGTATATGTCAAGCAATAATAGCATGCTGAATACCTGAAATATACCATTGTAGTTGATTTTAATGTTGCCTCGCCTCTAATTGGAACAACCTGAGTAGGGAAGGGTGGCTTGGTTGCCTTAATTGAGGAGAAAAGAGCCATCCTGATTATGCGAGAGGTCTTCTGATAGTAGCCCAGAAAAAAAATCTATGGTAAATGGAAGATTATCTTGTCTTTTGCTTGCTTGGCCTTCCTTCTTTCCACTGAGGTAGTTGGTTTAATTTACCTTGTTGTTGTTGCTGTTGCTGCTGTTGCTACTGCTGCTGCTGCTGTGAACTGAATTTTCTTCACTGATAGCAGAACTGGTATTTCCAAGCTGTTATTACGAACCTGCTGACCAGCTATTCCTGGGCATCTGGTGTCTGATTGAGACTATGGACTCACCCTGCCTTGTGAACTGAGTAACTAGCAGTTGTCATTCCTCTCCTCCCAGTGAGAGACAGTTATTGTGGGACTACCCCAACTTTTTAAGCAGCCAGCCTCAAGAACCAAGTCATGTCCAGAGTCTTTGGTTCTCAGGTATGATCTAGCTGTTGTTACTATTTGAATGCTGACTTAATGCATTGAGTTCATGTGTATTAAGAGTATCCTGACTAATGCATATACTAAGCAGATACTAATACAAATACTAAGTTATAGAGCACTTTTCACATGATGTTTGGTCACTTTCTCAAGCACCCTGGAAGGAGGAATTATACTCCGTACAAATAAATCTGTGGCTTATTAATTTGTATGAAGTTAGCACAGAAGCTGAGCTCTTTGCTATTCTGCTCCTTGTTCAGAGCTTCACTAAAGCTTTCCTTCTAGAAGGCGTGACTAAAGCCTTTTGGCTTGCATGTACAGTTCTACATAACTTCCAAATGTTAAGGCAAAAAAAAAAAAAAAGCCTGGGAAGTTTTGATACTTAATTATAAGATTAGGTCAACTACTCTAATACCACGGATTTTCGAATTCTCATTAGATACTTTTGATGTTGGGCATATTGTGTGCATCAGTGGGTGAAGAGTCCACTTGGCTTAGCTTGTCCCTACACCCCCAACCTGCACCCAATTACCTGGATGCAGTACGAGTAGAGGTCACAGCGCTCCCAAACAGTTCTTTCATCTGAGAGTGAAGATGAAAAATGACCGACCAGCAACTCTCCCGGTATTGTGCGCCAGCTCTTTGGTTTATCTTCTAAAGGTTTGATGTCTGATAATGAATAAATTAGAATAAAATATGAATGCACCCTCTGTAAGGACCTAGCAGGAAACATTAGCTATTGAGCCAGATCTCAATCAGCAAATGAAAGAGGTTCCTTCTGGCACTAAGTCCAAGCCTGGGAAGTCTGCTTATTTAGGAGAGAAGTGAAGATAAAAGAGGAAATGGATGAGTGTGCTACGTGTGCGTGTGTGTGTGTGTGTGTGTGTGTGTGTACACTCGTGCAAGGGAGGCAGTAAATGGAGAGAAAGCTTTAGTTTTTCTGAAGCATCTCAACTTACATAACCCGTGTGAAGTAATGCCCCATCATCTAAATTGTTCTAAAAACACTCACAGATTCATCTTTTCCTTATTTTTGATCAAATTGGCATGCATGCTTTATTAATACCATGCACAGTGTATTGCCATTTAGAGACTAAACATATTTGAAAACACGTAATTTCTATAACTCATCTACATTACTGCATGAGCTTAACTTGAGACAGTCACAAAAATGCAGATTATATGGCAAGAGGCTCTGTGTTGAATTACCTGCCCTGTGCCGTAGATTTGGTGTCAGCACTTTTCTCTGCAGCCACATTTGGACATGAGTCTCTCTTCCCATCTCACCCAATGAATGTGATGTCCTTGAAAAGTTGCTCAATCCCCACTCTAAGGATGGTTTCATTTACTGTTAGAATCTGAGCCAAACGGCTTTGCATGCCTGACAACACAGCCCCTTGAATTACCAACCCTCCACCTCTGCATCTGACTTCCCAAGGGAGTCATCACATTAAGTTAGTAACTCCCACCTCCTCACTCGACACTCAGCTTTAAATGAAAGCTGGCTTCTCCTTACAGCCATCCATCCAGACATAGGTGAAAATAAGAGAGAAAGTTTGCTTCAGGCTTGTGTTAAAATTTTTTTAGAGACTAGGGTGTGTGGGAGGGCATGGAGAGCAAATGTCAACTAAAGATGCTTTCTTAGTTCTTTCCCCACTTTTACTGGTCCCTCACTTCATGAAACCATGAAATTTCAGGCTATAGGAACATGATATAAGTGGTGTGTGTGTGTGTGTGTGTGTGTGTGTGTGTGTTTCTTTCTAATTTCACTAGGTGGCATTTGACTATCTTCAACAAAAGTAAGACATCAGAAGATCCAAGAAATACTTCTGCGTATAATCTCATTCATCACATATTTCTACTATTTCTATGTGTGGAGCCTTTTACAAATACTAGGTTCTATCTACTTTAGTGGTACACAGGTTAACTGGTAAGAGAAAGAAATCTGAACTTCCATTCAGCAACTAGAGAGAATTTTAAGTAGAAAAGTCACTTCTACAAATAACACACTGTGAGCAGCACAGTGTTCTGCCACTGCCTGCATAGAACAGGAAGTGCCTTATGGCTGGCTAGTCCTGCAACCTGAGCCTACCACTGTCTTTTTTCAACCCTTGAGTACACAGCACAGTTTGTCCCTTTTCACTTTATCTGAGCCACCCCTTTCAATGCACATTCAATTATTTTAAGACTATAAAAGATATAGAAAAAAATATGGCTTTTGTAACAGTAAGCTTATTGCTGTATTACATGCACATTGTAATTTAGCATTTGCTTGACAACTTACAATATAAATGTTCTTTGAAAATTAAGAAATGAGGAGAGAAGATAAGACAGCTAATTTCTCAAACAGTGGGGACAAATGACATCAGGAAAATGAAAGATTTTTCTATTCTTTTGTGAGAATTTTTAGACAGTTTAGAACTTAATTAGAATTTCTTAGAGATATAGACTATTAAAGGAAGACATTAAAACATAATAAACTAAAAGCGATGTTTCTTTCACTCTAATATAATTTCAATGCAATTAAATTATATTTTCTCTTAGCCATATTTCAGACTTTCATTATCTTCATGAGTATCAATGTTAATATTTTTATGTATCATTTAGTAGCACTAATTTCTGAAGCTAGGGTTGTCGTGAGTAAGTATAAACTGTGAATCCTCTATTCTCACCATGTAATTAACTGAATTCCAACAGCGAAGGGTGTGTGTGGGTGGGTGACAGACAAACTCTTAGAAAGCAGCAAGTTAGGAAATGTGTCAGAGACAAATAACAAATTGTAGTTCTCTATAGTTTCACTACGGCTCATGTGACTGACTTGAGCAAAATTCAACTACAGGGTACCCAAGACTTGATGATTAAAAGAGCAGAGAATGGAATCTCCAGTCATCTGCATAGACACAATGTATGAATTACTAAGTAAACTTTTAAAGTATTAGGATTTCCTATTGCTTTTTCAAATGTTCTTAGTGTTATTTACCTCCTCTTCCTCCATCTCTCTCCTGAAAGCTCCCATTAGAGACTCACCTATTTTCTACGTTATCCATCAATAGTTCTTGTGTCCTACTCTCCCCCGGCCCATAGCCGCCCCATGGTCTCTTATTAGAGACAACTCAAAGTATCCAGAGATGGGAGCTCAGATACACAGATAAGGGAGAATGTGTGATATTTATCTTTTTTTGGTCTGAGTTACCTCGCTTAGTATATTTTCAAGTTCTGTCCATTTTGCTGACATTTTCATGACTTTATTTATTTTTATTGTTAAATGGCATTGTACTGAGGATATGTACTATATCGTTGCCATCCATTTATCAGTTAAAGTACATGTAGGTTGCTTCTATTTCTTAGCTGTTGTGAAGAGAGCAGCAATGAATACGGCTGAGCAAGTATCTGTGTGGAGGGTGAGAGTCCTTTGGTGGATATGCAAGCCACTTTCTGGTGATATAGTTCCTTCATACTTTGTCTAAAATATATTGTACTTGGCTCTGTGTGGAGTGGGTCTTAGCTGTTTCCTCTCATTGGTTTTATAATTGCGTATTCTGTGTTCTTGATTTTGAGAGACAGATTCCCTGACAGACCGATAGGGAGAGGGGCCAAGGCTAGGCAAAAAATTATCACAAGGAAAACCTGCTATTAGGAAGAAAAACACATCTTCAGAAGAAACAAATAGTATTTCAGGTGGAATATCAGAGGTTTGAGACGATAAAAAGAAAACAAAGACAGTAAGCCTAAAGTTGAATGGTAGAAGTGAGAATATTATGATGGTTAATGTTTTATATATTGTTTATATGCATTTGATGTGTTATATGTAGGAGAAATCTTAAATTTACAGTAACAAACATGACTGTTCCACATGTCACGTTTGAACTGT